CCAAGGGCTGTCAAATGCACCAGCAACATTTAATCGTCTTGTGACGCAGTTGTTCAGATCCCATCGGACGTATGAACAGACATACTTTGAGGACATCGTCGTTCACAGTCGTGCAGGACACGGAAGGGCGAAGAGGAAAACCACATCGTCCGTTTGAGAGCGGTGCTCGAGTGCATGCACACGACCAAGATGTATGCTGATGCCGATAAGTGTATCTTCGGCGAGGAAGAAATTTTCTTTTCAGAGTGCTTTATTGGGCAGCGTGGCCTTCGAGCGGATCCCGCTAAGGTCGAGCCGAATGTAAAATGGGCGGCTCCAAAGAAACAAAAGGACTTGCGCAAGTGGCTTGGCCTTGCCAAGTACTTGCACATGTATAGCTCAAATTATGCGATAATGGCACGACCATTGTCCAATCTCCTTAAAAAAGATACAGAATGCTGTTGGGACTGCTGCAAGTAAATACCAAGGGGCGAGATCATCTGATCGCGTTCGAATCTCGCCAGCTTAAGGCTGCGGAGATGTACTATCCCGTCACAACAAGGAATTACTTGCGATAAAGTATGAACTTGTAAAGTTCAGGGTGCTTCCGCTTGGCTCAAAGCCTACACAGATCATGCGTAATCAGGCACTGTCGCCTCACCTCTCGCAGAGGACGGCCAGGTGGCTCTTCTTCTTTGCAGAATATATCTTCGAATTGAATTATAAGCCAGGAGAGCAGAATGCTCTGGCTGATGCGTTATCCCGCAGATCAGACTATGAGCTTGCTCATGTCACGACAGTGACGTCGTCAGTGACGGATTTGATCCGCGCCACACATGCGGGTGATGGTACGTGTGTAGCGCTGCTACAAGCTCTTAAAAGGAAGGGGTTTGAAACTCGGACAAGGAATTCTCGGCGCATTGTGCATTGCGCGCACGGTTACACCGATATTTGTTGGGTAGCTAGTTGCTGTTTTATAGCACCAATTCGACGGAAACACCACAAATTGTGGCTCCTCGCGATGAGATTTTG